CATAGGGCTGCGCTTTGCGGCCCCGGAAGGTTGCCCGTCGTAGGGAGAGGAATCCAAGCGAAGTCCTCGGGCGTGAGCGGGTCCAAAGCCTCCTCGTTGAACACGCTTGCCGAATCCCTTGATGAAGACGAACTGGCGGAGAAACCTTCGGACGGTGAGAAAGCCGCACATGTATCTTTTCCTTGAGTAGCATCCAGTGAAGGAACGAGCCGGGCAGCGAAGTCTTCGAACGAAAGTTGAAGACTCCCGACATCCTCATATGCCTCGGAAGAAAGGGCGGTCGTGGCCACAACCGCTTCCGATGGCGTCGAGGGAGGTGTCGAGTATCCCTCGGCGGCGCCTACTTTCCCTGACGGGGTTTCCCCTTGGTGGGGCAATGTGCAGCATCGTGGATGGTGCTGTTGCACCAAAGGCAATACCGGTACTTGAGTCGCGTGCGATAAGAGTTTGCCGAGAGTCCGTATTGTACCCAAGGTTCGTCGGCGGCTGATCCGGTGCTCGGTGTTGAGGTGGATYGAGTCTTCGTCTTGTCGCGGCCATGGTTGTTGCGCGGCCGGCGACCATCCCGGACAGCTGCCAACACTTCACCCTCGTTTGGTGTTGCAGCCTCGGAAGAAATAATGCAAGCCACCTTTGGCTTGAGCTGGGTGCCGCTCGTCGTCGCGAAAGATCGGCCTGCATTGCGGGCTTCGATATTTGTCAGAATGATCCGTGACGCTGTACTAAAAAGCTTGTCGGATGTGTCGAGTGTCTCTTCAATCTGCGTAAGCGCGTTTTGCAGCGCCGGACATGAGCGCATGATAAACAAGTGCTTGATGACGCGGAATGCGAGCGGCAGGTTAGGTGTGGAGGCGAGTCTTTGAAACTCGGTGATCCAGTCCTGACTGAGCAGCGTGTTTTGATGGAGCTTGTTGAGCTTGTCCATCGCTTGCAGGTCGGGCGGCTCCACTTGGAATCGCTTGTGCCAGACGTCAGTCAACTCCTGCCAAGTGAGCTTGGTGTGTAGTTCCGACACTGCTACGCCGTGGCTGGTCAAGATGTTGTCCAGCCATGCTTGACACGCACCACCAGATCGGTGGTACAAGCACGGATGTGGATCGTTGTTCGGGATATGGTGCATGTCGAGCCGGAGAGTAAACTGGCGCCACCACGGGATCGGTTCCGTCTTGGACTGATCGCAGAAGACAGGAATGTCATCTAGCTTGGGTGGGCGCCTGGAGGATGCGGCGGCGAGCGTCACGGTGGCAGCCGCCTGGACCTGCGTCTCCAACTGCAAGTTCGTTGCTTGCTGCGACGTCCGGAAGTCCTGATGCGCACGCTTGATATTGCCGACGTCGTCCTCCAAGACTTGAACGCGGGTCGCAAGGTTTGCAGGCCCTGCGGCTGCTACAGCTGCTGGCTGTTTTTCCAACGCCTGCAGCCGTGCGAGCATCTGGTCCACTGTCTGCTGCAGGTGGAGGATTTCCTCCTGCTGCAGAGCGCAGGTGGCCACGAGGTCGTGGGAGACCTGTGCAAGGGCTGACAACCCTTTCTCAGTCTCCGGGGCCTCGTCTGTAGATGCCATTTCCACCCAACGTGCGGCCTCCTCGCCGATCACGGTCTCCCGTGTGAATAGTCGTTCCCGCTGGTGTGACCGGTGTTCAGCTGCCGCTTGCAGGTCTGCCTCCTCTTGACGAAGTCGGTCCCGTTCCTCCTTCTGTCGCTTGGCCTCCTCCTCTTGTTCAAGCTGCTGACGTTCCTTGGCCGCAGCGGCGGCCCTATCGTTGGCCTCTTGAATGAATGCCGCCAGGCGTTCCTCATAGCTCAGGAGGGATTCCCCCGCCTTCCGGTCCATGGCCTTGGTCTGTGATCGAGTGAGCAGTGTCATGCACTGCTGTGCCCGAAG